GCAGGACAGAACACAATCTGAGGATGGTATTGCTAGATCTTTTCAGTTCCATTTTTGGGAAGGATTTAATCAAAAAGGAGTTAACTTACAGGATCAGTATAGTGAGTCAGTACATTACACTATTCACTTAGGAACAATAAGTCCACACTAACAGCCTAATTTTGCCAACATACTGATATTTTCTCTTTAAAACACTCCCTCAGTGCAAAAAGGAAGGACTCTGTGTAGCCAGACACTGGGGCTAAACTTTCCCCACAAAAAAAAAACACCACCACCACCAACAACAACAACAAAACCAAAACCAACAACAACCACACAGAAGCATGGAGCAGCATTGTGCTTTCCACATTATTCACTTTCTTCAGCTTCTGTGAATACTATTTTAATTTAAAAACTGATTCTGAAAATACTCTTAGATGCAGTACGGTGCAGAACATAGCCTGTAGTACTCCCTTAATCCATAAATAGCAAATGTATAATGTACAGAAATCCAGTGACTTTGATAAAAAGATGAATGATTTCTCTCTTTTTTTTAACAATTATTTCCTAATGTAAAATTATTGTGGAACACACGTAAAATGTTACCTTCAATTCAAATTGAATGCAAAATAATGTGACTAGGCTCTCTGTTTTCATGTCTCAATTTGTATTCTGCCTGCGGTCACCACAACAGTGACAATCACCTACATGGTCTTGACATTTCCTAGCCTTTTAGCAACAGAATTATAAAACGGGTGGAGGGCGGGGACTCTTTTGTTTTAGCATTTGAATGTTTGGGCTCTACTCAACAAAAGTGACAATATTTACTACATATGGGCAAGTTCACAGTGACCCACTTTCACTCCAGCCCTTTTTGCACTTTGTACTAGGAGTAATGACAGGCAAAGTAACTTGTCCAATTTTAAATTATCATCCCTGAAAGGCAATGTTAACTGTTATGTCACATGAGTTTTATGCAAGGTTTGCTGTACTCATTTGCATCTTCCAAAGCGCATATTACTCATGACTTCAGTACAGGTTTGTCAGTTGTCCACCTGACCTTACTAAATATATGCCAGCTACACTCAGATGAAGTAGAAGTAGCATGAAAACTTTGTCAGAGTGGAGGAAAAAGACAGTGAGTGATTCATACCTATTGTTTAGAATCCATACCATGAAGCTTATAAAATCTATTTCAGCCCCAGGCAATATTTTCTTTGTCACTCACTACTGTTAGGGAAGGGAAAAAGAAAGAATTACTGGCTGGAAATAAAGATATTTTTGTTTCCTTTTTTATTTTCCAGAAAATCAAGGCTAACACTTAAGTATAGATCACAAAGCTCATGTCTTTTTCATAGGATTTCCCTCAAGGGATAGGAGCTTGGCTAACCTAATCAAAAGATCAACTTGCAACAGAAAAAATAGAAAAAATTAGAAAGTCTCAAATGCCATTTTCAGAGAGGATTATTTGACATAATAACTTGTTTATATCACATTCTGTCTTTTTAAAGAGAAATATTCAAGTTTTCAGTGTTTCTTAGATGTACATTATCTGTTTTTGCAGTGGAACAGAAAATCATGTTTACACGGTTCTGGAAACTTATTTTTTTTAATTTAGTGGACTATACCTTGGAGTAATTTAGAAAGAGAATATGGATGTTTCCACCAGAGGCTGGTAAAGGAAGACAGAAAAAAAGAGGAACTGGTGTTTCACCAGTATGAATACCAATTTACCATACTTCATTTTTACAATGTAGGAATCTTCCCACACACAAAATTAGCAATTGCATAGTTTTTATATATGAGTCAATTTTACCTACAAAGTTACTCATATGCTGATTCAACGCCCCCTTAAAATCCTGAAGACTATAAGCAGGAGTTTATAGTAGAGCAGTACTACTGCTTTTCAATTCCTTAAGGTATGTATCACACCCTAGATCTCTCACATCCATCCATCTCCACAAGAGGTGGAAGATGTAAGCTACTCCAGAGAAGACCCCACAACCGAGGAGTACTGAATAGAGTTTTCTTTCTTCTTTTTAGTCAGAAATTTTTTTGGTGAAAGGAAAGGAACTTAGGTTTATTGACCTTTTTGCAGGAACCTTTCACATTGTTCTGACGGACAATCACAACAATGTCTTGAGATCATACAAAAAACACTTCTCCTGTCCTAAGTTCTTGGTTCTACTGTTGCACTAACATTTGCATGACTTCCAAATGCCAGTTCAAGGCACTGATAGGTTTTATAATAATGATAATTAAAATAGTTTTTATAAAATCAGAATCATGATGTGAGGGTTATTTTCAGGGCTACCAGCAGTTCTTTCAGCTCACTGCTTTTTCTACCCTAACACTTTATGTACTTATATCTTTTCAAGTTCCTATTCAGTTCTGTTGGTACTGTTGATGTTGGTAAATACTCAATCAGAGAGTCTAGTAAAGTTTTTGTGTTTTGTCCACTTCGATTCATCCTACCTAATTTAGGCTTTTACTAACATGCCTAATTTGTAGCTTTAAATCTCTGTGGTCAGAAGAAAGAGTATTACAGACAATAACTCAGACTTTACTGAATTTAGGGAAGAGGGCTTGCAGTCAGAGCAGATTATTATATATCAAAGTGTGTACATCCTAAAAACCAAATTAGGAAAGAGTAATATTCTTTAAGATAACTTTTAAATTAAAACCTCAAGGAAGTTGTCTGTTAAGTATTAGAGGTAAAAAAATTTTAGATGGTAACAGATTTTTAACATGTTTATTTACTTTTAATGATTGCTTAAACCATTATCAGGACAAAGCAGGTTGCAAGTTCTTGCATCTCCTCTATTCAGTTGTTTAAATATTTAAGCATTATTGCCTTCTCTCCAGCTCAAAGATATGGGTTTCTGGGAATCAGATATCAAAACTTGCTATTCTTTGACTAAATTAAAAACAACAGAAAGCCCAGCAAAAATTTTAAACCTCAGAAGCAATAATGTCACAGCTAATGCTTTCCACACCTTATTTCTTTTCTTTTTCAAATATGGGCTACTTTTCTGTGATTTATGTTTTATATTATGTCAATATTCAATGTTATAATGAAAGCCTACTTTAAGTGTTGTAAATACCTTCTGAGCAGTATAAAATAAGGTTACAGAAAATAGCAAGATTTAGAAAACCCCAAACACAGAAGTGTGAATAAACAAACCCTATGTTTTAAGAAATATGTGCAGCACTTCTAAACATCAGCAGTATCTTTCTTTCAGTTCAAATTGATCTAAGTTCCTCCACCATCGATCTCAGTCAACGATTATTGCAGTTCTATTCTTTTATAACTACTTTTTCCTTTAGTTCATTTAGCCATCAACAAATGGGTGTGTGCATCATGAAAGAAAGAGAAAAGCATATTTTGCGATCAAAGTCCAAACTTACCTGGCAAAACTTTAAGGGGAATTTTAAAAGAAGAGACCAAACACTTAAGGGCTTTGAAGTATGGGAGAAACTGAAATAGAAGTATTGCCAAATTGTATTTCATGCTTTTGGTGCTTAATACAGTATATTCGTTCCCATCAAGAATACCCCTTTGCCACAGGGAACACCTTTGCAACGTGGTACTGCAGAACTGGTAGGGAATGTGCCACGGTTTTTTTTGCAGACTTAACGTGTAAAATATGATTAGTATCCAAACTGATAATTCCATATAAGCAGTGGGGAGCATTTCCAAACACATAATAAACATCGAAAGGGCTGAGTTATACTCCTAGCTTTCTTCCACACTCAGCAGGTTTTAATATCTATGTATTCCCAACACAAATAATTGAAAAATCACGTTTTCACAACTTCTTTATACCAAAAAAAAGCTTCAGTGCAAAGGGTAGAGGCTCTCTACTGTCTTGTACATTGCATTTACATGAGACGTGGTGTGCCCTGTGAATAAACGACGAGATCTATTCAGCTACTTATAATTTTGCTCCTGGCTTTCTAGAGCCAAGATTTCACTACTTCATTTGAATTTTCACCCCTTCTCCTGTCCGCCTGTGTAACCTTAGGCAAGTCACTTTTCCTTTCTGACCACTTCCCTGTTGAATCATCAGCGCACATCACCAACTGGATAATAGGGTCTGTAGGACATGTGCTGTCTCTCACTATCTGTTCTACAGTGCTTGACACTGTGTGACACTCATCACTATAGTGTCACGTTTGTAAAGCTGCATTGCAAGTAAAATGAAAGGAAACTGACTGTCAAGAGATAATAAGCATTGGAGGTTCAATCCTAGTTTGTGTATAAATGGTTGTTGATTCTTTTTTCTTTCCACAGAATATGTGACTAGATGTTACTTCATATACCAATAGGGTTGGTCAAGCATTCAGCTAGCAAAATACCTCAGTGAATCACACATTTCAAAAAGTGGTGTCAAAGCTATAATTTCTATCTGAGCTGTAATTAACCTAAGAATTAAAGCAACAGCATTTTAATGTAAGATAATACAGGCACACAAAGAAGATATTTACATGAATTTTACAACAGAAAGTGTAGACTTTGAGTTGGCACAAACTGATATACCCCCGATCAAAGTCAACAAAGCCACTTTACACAAGTGAAAATATGATCTCAAATGTATATTTTGCAGCCAGGTCTTTCTAGATTTTTTTTAAATGGCAGTCCTAGTGCAATCATAAAAGGTCAACATCGTACTTATTGGTCTTATTTTCCTATGAACCTCTTGGTTTTTTTGGTTCGCCATTTTCTGGGAAACATTCACAAGAGTGCTGTATTGTCCATGACCTTTTTTTCAGAGGAAAAGTTTTCCAGATATAATATGAACAACTTATTATGAAATAATCATCTTCATAGAGAAGGTCAAATTGTGGAATAAATGCAAGTAGGTCTCAGCATGAATAATGGTCGGCTGAATACAGGTCTTTGAATGGAACATTAGTGACATCTCCTGTTAGGGAAAATGGGGCCCTGTGAGAATTACCTCACTTGTGTAGGTCACCTAGATACATTAAAAAGAGACAGAAACACTTTTTTTGAGTTATGTCCTACAAATACTTGGTCGGTGAGGAAAGGGACTAGTCAAATTCCTAGCTCAGCTCTACAAACTCTTTGAGATTTTCTCAGTATAGATATCAGAAATGTGGTCTGAGAACCACCAAAGATCATTTAGGGTTTTTACATCTGAAGAGTATCAAAATACTATCAAAATTGCATTATACCAGAAACCTATTTATATCCAAGAACTAAAACTGAGTCCCTTTCCTTCTTTTTCTTCAGATAAGATTTTTCAGATGAATGAAAAATTTCCTTTGTTATTCTATCATTTCCTATTCACTACTCTGATAAGAAATCTCGTGGCTCTGAGTTGCACAGGGCCAGGATGGGAATATTATTCATCACACATCTTACCTGAGGCAGTCAGAGCACTCCAGGGTGAAGGTAGATATTCTGGTGACCTACCAAACGATGAGCTTTCCTTCAATTCTTGAAATATTTTTGACTTCCTGCCAATGTTTATCCTCTGCTCTTCCGTCTTGTAGTTACATCCTTTCATGCCAGTACATCGAAATTCAGTGTGCTTCAGGTATATATTCTGTGATACGTCTGATATATGTGTGTATTTTCTGTGATATTCTGAGTCTCACCATTTTGGAGAAGAGAGCATTGCTTGGCTCTGAGGTTAGGCTGCAAATCCCACATATTTAAAAGGTCCTCATGATCAGACAAAAGACAGAAATTATAAAAAGACCCATCACATGATAACAAGTATATGCATCTGGAAGCATGAGCTTCCCAGATGCCTATATTAAACCTTTACGTGTTCTCTTATTGGCAGGTTGGTTACTGGAAGGACATGGAGCAGGAAGAAGCAGGAGAAAAAGTCAAAACTGAGGGAAATGAGTCATCCATCCTCCTGACAGGATTAGAAGGAAACACGTTGTATCACCTAACAGTGAGAGCGTACAACGCTGCAGGGTATGGACCACCTAGCACTGTTGTGCGTGTAGCAACCAAGAAGTCCCGTAAGTGATCTCAGCAACTTTGTTGAGGGGGAAGTCAGCGAGTGACCTCTGCCCTCTTGGGTTTTCCTTTAATAAGAGTTTCTTATCATCAGGAATCATGTATAATTTTGAACCATGGCTGTGATATTTAGACATGAATTCATATGACTTTTCCTTTATAACAAAGGTTATCTTCCTAGGAAACGAGGCATCTTTGACAAAGAAGGGAGACAAAAGAGTTCAAGTTCATAAACTCTGTGGAGCTTATGGGCTGGGTTAAGTAAATACATCACAATCCATTAAATGATAATTCTGGTGCAAAACAAAAAACTTTAAAAATTCCAGCTAGATTTGGGAGCCTGCTAACACAACCAGTTGTAACTGCAATGAGAGATCAAAATGCTTTTCTTTAGATTTTAGAGAAATTACTTATAAAATATATTAATGTACATGTTAACTTCTCTTCTCAGCTCCTAGCCAGGCACCGAGCAATATTATGTGGATACAGGATGGTTCTCATGTGTCTCTTGGGTGGGAGCCAGTCAGACCTCTAGAAAATGAATCTGATGTAATGGGATACAAGGTCAGTGCTTACCCTCCCTTGCTCACCTTTCTCTCTTCCAAACAACTACTCCTCTTCTTGTTGGCTTTTTTCCCTTTCTTGCTTTTCTGTGTAAGTAAAGTATGCTATACAGGCTGTCTGCAACCAGTTTTTGACATGAAAAACAATAAATAAAATTAAAAAGAGCAAAATTTCCCAACATTTTTTATGTTGTGATTTTCAACTACTGATTATAAACTAAGTAAGCTCTATGTGAGGGGATCAGTTCATCATATCTGACTCAGAAGTGGCTATTAATAAGACCAGCCTGCAATGAAATTCCTAATAAAACTTAAATTTAACTGTGTTTGCAGTAGGATTTAGAGAAATGCAGAATAAGGCATCTTAAAATGACATTAACATTAATATTTTTATGCAGCAGAAACACAAATACTTCAGTTGGTTTTGTGATCATGTTGGTAATGTTCAACAATCAGTGACAGTAACATCTGGCATTTAAAGTTTTGAGCTTTAAAGAGTAAAATCCAGATTAAATAACAAGTGATAAAAAGCAGTGGAGTTCACTGCAGTCTTTTAAATCAAAGCAGAATGATTTCAATCTTTTTACGGGGGTGGGGGGGAGGTTTCTTTGAAGCATATATATGATCATTTTTATAAAATACAATCTGATATTCCCTCTGATACATCACGAAATATCACCAAGAAAGTGTAAAATGGTTCAAATAAACCAGAAACTGCTTTAACCTTTATCAGAATAGTTGACATTCTGAAAAAGTTGACTTGACTACTTTGGGTTTTTGCACCTCTCTGGCATTTTCACTTTTGTCTGGGAACAGAAACTCTTACACAGAAGTAAGACAGACACGTGCTCACTTGCTTTCCTCCCACAAGCCATAAGCTTGTACTGAGTTTCACAGGAGAGGCAGGGAGAGATCTGATCTATTCTCAATTGACTTAGCCAGCTATGGTAAACACAGTAAGAACACTATTTAAGGCATTTTCTTTACATTTTAAGTTGGGCTCCTGAGCCAAAAATGTGTCTATTTACATGAATTTGGGAATATTGTATTTTGAAGACATTTTGGAGAAAATAATTGTGTAACACCTAACGCTGGAGAGGGCAAATGCTGTATCTTCACTTTAGATCATAATCAATGTCCTTTAAAATTCATTAATTGCTTATATACCACTATGACCACTATCTACTTTATTGACCATAGGTATTATTTAGGCAAGAAGGCCAGAGCAACAGTCAAGTTATAGAAACACAGAAAACCTCTGCAGTGGTGCTTCTTCCTGATGTTGGTGTCTACATCATCGAGGTCTGTGCAGTCAGTGAAGGAGGGGATGGGACTTCAAGTCCCCAGATCAGAGTTCCATCTTTTTCAGGTAAGGTTGCACTTGTATTTGAAAGAATGCTGATTATAGCAATGATCATTTATAGCAATGCTATAAATAATAATAATAATAATTTACTCTATTATTCTATACCCAAAACAAACGTTCTCACAATTCTCCAGCCATTCAATAAAATCCTTAATCAGAGTCTTCAGTTCTATACTGAAACAAAGGTATCTAGCACCATTTGAGATGCCTAAGAGTATCTGAGACATCCATGTGGTGCTGATGAACAAAGCAGAGGTTTTACAGGAAACCTCTCCCTTTCTACTATAACATTTGGAAACCTGATTGAGTCATAGATGTCCACACATGCACTAGGTGTCTCAAATAGATTTATAATCAGCTGAGACCATGGAGCTTAGATAACAATTCAGCTGATCTTCCGAATTTAAATATTCAGGCATAAGCACATAAGGACATTGGAGTGTCCTATGGTATCCCAAATTGTTGCACAAAGCTGCCAGATATCATATGGGACTTGGAGGATACACACATCATTCTGGACCACCAGACAGAGGTGTACTGTCTAACACAGCTCAAATGGCATGCATTTAGGTAGCTGAACCCCGTGTATGTGTCTGCTTTAGAATAAGCTGAATTCCTTTGTAAATTCCATTGAATCCCTTGAATAGATATTATTTTATTCAATTATTTATGTATTACAATATTAATGTATTATCATGCAGTAAATTATGATGGCTGGCTCAGTTTCTGCAATATGTTGAAATAATTTAAAATATCAATATTACACAGGTAAGAAAGCGATGGAAGGATTAGTGGCAAGAACAGCTAGAAAATAACATTTTATTTTGCCTAAATGCAACAAGGCATCTTAATTCTAACTTTCTGCTAACATTTTAAAATTCTGCTAAATAGTGCTTTTTAATCCTGAAAGAGTGCTATCCAAAAGGTGTAAGCCTGAAATTTTAATCTAGACCAAAAATTCAGCTCTAGTGTAGTCACAAACTACAGTGCTATCATCAGAATATGAAAGATACCAACCCTTACTCCATGGAATATTTGTTTCATGTATCTTTTAAGCCATAACTCTACACCACAAAATCATTCATTCCCTCTAACCTGGTATTTATTAATTAGGCTGTGCACAACAGATCAGTTTCACTTAGGACAATTGTGGTCCAAAGAAACCCAGCAAACATCAAGATCAAGGGCTAGCGTTCATTCCTTGTTCCAGGAAGAATAATTGTGATCATGACTGAGGGAGTCTTCTGCAGTCTAATTCTTTTTGAGGTTTAAGGCATAAAACCACACACTTTGTTGGAATTTCCTATTCATTTGCAGACTGAATATGAGGATTCAGCATTTGAGTTGCAGTAGATATCATCATCATAAAATCTCCAATTTCCTTATGTCTGTGTAGGAAGCCTATTTTTATTGCAATTCTCGTAAGGTAATCCATTGCCTAAAAGTTAGGTTTTTGCTGAGCATAATAGAATATGAGTTTGGGCAAAATCTAGTACTAAATGTATGGAGAACTGTTTGCATAATTTGTTCCTTAACTACTTTGCTTTTCATTTCAGGAGGGAAAGTAACAAGTGCTCAATCCACCTTACATGTGTTGTCTACTTCTTCCTCTGTAACATTGCTCTTGGCACTGATGATTCCTTCAACCTCAGGGTGAAGACTGCAGACTTTGTTGTTGTTATTCGTTTGCTTAACTTGATGACACCAAGGGATGGAGTTTTATGTCTGTGGAGAAACTGGAAACCCAAGTTAATGCTTAAAGACCCTTAGAAATACCTGTGGTACGCTTAGAGGAGTGTTGGAGACACAGTCAATAATTCATCAGGTTTTTTCTCTTTTTTTGTAAAAGTCCTCTAGGGAGGGGACGTTCCTTGGCCCAAAAATATGCAGATTGTATGTAATAAACTTTTGTAAGCAAACGAAATCTCTGTCAAACATACTTTACTTTTTTAATATGTTCCATTTTGGTGAACCCAGTCATGTATCATTAGGTGTTTAAATAGTGATAACTGGTACAGTACATCTGTTTTGTTTGGAAAAAAAAAATTAAATATAGAACAAAGTTTGATACAGCTTTGTCAAATATTTTCCTTGCATCCCCTATGGCTAGCTGTTCCTACTGACAAGAGAGAAAAATATAGTTTAGATACACAGCCCACTGCAAAAGTACAGATAATTTGTTCTGAAAATGTATTAATATGTATTTAATTAGCAGAAAGAATTGTCAATAGTAGACAGCACACTCAGAAAGTTGCATAATGGAGCAGAAAAGCCATTTATTTTATTACAAGGTAAATGGAAAATTATTACACACAAACTTAAAAGGAAACAAGTTTGTTTTTTATCAAATATTACATGATTTAATGTCAAAAGAATAAAATATTTATTTTCAATAGTAAATAAATAAATCAATTTCTAATGTATATGAAAATGAAAACTCCACTGGGCTTTTAATCATGTTATATATTAGGCTGATAGGTGGGCAAACAGAGCAATGCAAGGACATAAACCTACTTTTTCCAACAACTTCTCATTTGTAACTTTTTTTCACTGGGTCCATTTTTTAGTAACATTCTGTGCTTTATATATTTGGTAATCAAGTTGAAATACATATGAAAGCATATTATGGAGACAATATTAACATTTTTTGGTATGTAATCATTCACAAATATACTGACTCTGGTAGGATATCTTTCTGGGAACGCTGTGTCTGAAAACAAAATATTTGGATAAGTGCTACTCAGAATCATGCCAGTTATTTAGCTAATTGGCTCTATATCTATAGATCACTAGAGATTATTCTTGTAGGGACTGTGTGCTATCAGTTTTAATCCCCACGTTCTACTGTACCAAAAAGTTATTTACTCAATAGACATTTTGAACAATTTTTCTACATTGGAAGGCCTTTCCACATTCTGAATCTGAATCAAAATGATCCCCAGAGTATATGATGTGTGTGTTTGTACAGTTACAATGTACATGGTGTTATGAGGGCAGGTGTGAACTGTGAGTCTAGGGATCACAACTAGAATGAATATTCCCTTGTCTGGGAAAAAAACAAGTCAAAAGAGTTTAACAGGCGAGTCCTAAAAGCATAGTTCTTCTACCTGTCCATCCCTGTAAAAGTTTTGATTCAAATTATTTCCGTAGATGTGTTCTAAATCCAAAATGCTATTTTTTGCCAGATCACTAGCTAAATAATACTTTGCATTTAGCTAGTAGGCTCTAACTGTGCCATTTCTTAGCAGCTTCAAAACAGTAGCCTTCTCTGGAGACATTCAAAACCGGCCTGGACGCCTTCCTGTGCAACCTCATCTAGGTGTTCCTGCTCCGGCAGGGGGATTGGACTAGATGATCTTTTGAGGTCCCTTCCAATCCCTAATGTTCTGTGATTCTGTGATTCTGTGAAAGCACAACATGGATCAAGTGCTTGGCAGGTGAAAAGCTGACTAATGACTGAATTTTTATTTCTTTTGAATATTTTATCAGTAAAATTTTTCAGAGATGGTAAAACTGAAATCTTTATTGTCCTCTAATATTTTAAGTAGTTTTCTAATAGATTAGTTTTAAATTTACATAGTCACCATGTTGCTAGGAAAACAAAGGCAGGACAGCTAGACAACTATGGACTATAGTTACATGCAGAAGGAGATATTCTGTATCTCTGCTTCTGAAAAAGCCTTTGAAATCAAAGAAAGGAAAGTGGAATCTAACCTTGCTGATAGAGCAAACTCACAGAAAATAACTACCTGCTGTCATTTGTAAAGCAGCAGCATTGCTACTGCATGGAGAACCTGCATTAGCAAACCATCATTTTTCAAAAAGTTAGAATAAACAAAAATAAAGTGATGAACCAAAAAGCAAAATGGCTATTTTATAAATTAATTAAGCATAATTTCCTCTATTTTTTATACAGTTGCTTGCCTATGCAGTTTATTTCAGAATATTCCAAAAGGTTGCAATCACTACTGGTGGCATTTTGGTTAAACAACTCTCTGAATACAATAAATGGCTATGCTTTATAAGAAAAATAAAAGTCTGATAAGGAGATAGAGCTGCCTGTAGATATATCTCAATCTCTAGTATGAAGATACAGACAGAAATACTGAACATACCATCAGGTAATGTAGTTGTATCGCAGGGACAAAATGGGGTATGTTTTATATTCGACATGAACAGAATATGTATTTTGCATCTTAAAAATATTAATAAACATGTTTTAAATGTTTAAGTACCTATGTATTATCTGTTACTTTGTAGAAGATTGTTCCTTCTCATGACATAGGTTTTTTTTAGTTGCAAAAGAAAGGTCTTTCCTTTTTCATGTAAAAGATTGTAATAGTGCAGTCTAGCGTCACTGAGGAGACTGTAATTTTGTATAATGCCACATCTGTTCAGAAACAGTAATTAGATAGAAACTTTGTTTAGCAGCCCAAAAGAAAGATACTGTCATGGCCCATATCAAAATATTAGATATATTGTATACAATCTGTATATATGCTATATATAATGGTATATACGATGTGAAACACACAGTAAAATAATAGTTCCTGTGTACTGTTCTTGTAACATTAGATCTTTTTAATAAATAATTCTCTTTTTATTGACTTTTATCTTATCTCCTGTCAACTCCTGAATTATATTCATTAATGAAAGGGTGACAAAAAAGTCTGGATTCTGGCAGAGACAGTCTTCTAATTACATGACTTTCAAAAAGAAAACAATGAATCTGCAATACTGAATGTGGACAGTGCAGCCATTAAAGTCAAATAAATTTTGGCAGCATTCTAATTTCACGTATGTGTTGGTTTAACTGTGTAGATATTACTTTTACAATTAAATAACTGAAATGTGCAAGAAGGCTGGAAGACTCAACATGAAACTATACCTAACAAAAATGGCAAAATAAGTCTGCAAATTCACCTCAGAGAGAAAAGCTCTCTGCATGTAAAATGAAAATATTGTGAAAAGAAGTGCTTTATAAGGAAGTCACCAAGGGCAATCCTCTATATACTGAAATATTATACAGTTTCTAGGACTTCTCTGACACGCATAATGTTCTTTCAAGTCTCACCAACACCCCATGGCTGTGCAGGCACAAAAGCACACTGTGACCATTACATGTTCAATTGAAAGGTTTAGTTGTTTTGTCTTATATTTGAAATACTTTGTAATAAATCACAACAAAAAAGCTTTCAGAAATAGACATGCTCTTTTGGAGGAAAACATGTAACAATAGATGTCCCAATTATAGAATATATTTTTGATAATTTTATTTGAGGTTTATATAATCCCCAATCACTTCTTTAGGAAATGCATATTTATAAGGTAAATGACTTTGCAACTTAGTACGAAGTCTAAAAGCCCATTTTGGAAACAAAAATAGATTTTCAGAGTCACCATTTGAACCAAGATTTCAATTACAAAATGGGTATGGCTTAAATAGCACATTATATCAGGACTTCCATTAAATTAGTTATGAATGTCACAGAAAACTGTAATGACCTGATTTTGCTGACATGGAGAACTGTGCATATTGAAAATCCATATCCTATCAGAACTTCTACCAAACTGCAACCCACTCTTGCACTTTTATGGCTATCATCCCAGTTCCTCTGAAGATGAAAGACATCTTCCTTCTTAATTACTTCCTGTGCTTCTGAGCAAAATAATGTCAGGGATAAGAGAAAATGAACACTGTTTTATTACAACAGGTTAGCTGGCTTTACGCTATCACAAACAGCCTCCCTCAGCATGTCTACATGCAGGCTGCTTTCAAAAATACAGATCCTGAGTTTGTTCTAAGGCTTTTCTCTCAATCCCAGTAAAGACAGACCTGAGCACTGACTTTGCCTTTATTGTGGTTTGTATTTTTAATACTTTAAAGAAGATAATGATAGCATATATATCAAAGACTCACAAGCCTAGAAGAAAAATCTATGGAAAATTGTATACTAGCAGTTTTAATATTCACATTACTTATTTCAAGGATCAGCTGCTTAAGTGAACTGGCATGGATGTTTGGATGCTTAGCTATTCTTCCTTCCTGTGCTTCTTTTCTGCAGCCAAACTATTAACTAAGCACCCTGGCTTATATAAGAAACCTATTTAGTGATCAGAAGAAACTGATAAAGAAATCTGTGATGCCTCTTGATTCATTTTTTACTATGATGAAATAGATATGTCTGGCTAGAGAAAAATACCCTTTCTTTTGGAGGTTTTCTCACTTATAAGCTTAAACTTACGAATTCTAAAAAGATACAGGATAAAAACATAAGAGTCTTCCTGAAAGATACAGTTATCAAGATGAATAGCAAAGGCAGGCACTATTTGTGTTAATCACAAATAAAGGTATTCATATGTTTTCATTTTTGGTACAGAAAACAAGATGGGAATATGCATCAATTTCCTTTCAGTAACAGAAAACATGTGAATAAAGAGATACTGAAAATATTTGAAGCATATCTGGGTCAAAGCTTTTGCAAGTACAATTTTATTCTAAGCTGCATTGCTCTGATGCCTGGCTGAGCAAGCATTTACATTTCATAATGACACCATCTCTTCTACATCTTCTTCATCTTCTACAAAAGGGACTTTTAAAGACAGGATAGCAAAACAGGGTAGTCCTTCTGAAATTCCTTTAAAACTTCACCATGTGGAGATACTGACTGACCTAAGAAAGAAACCTCAATTCAATCGCTTAGTTTTGTATAACTCAGTCCCTTAATCTTGAGTAATATATATGCCCAAGTCTATCATTATTTTGGAGAGAGTCATTTAGGTGATGACATTTTATATATATATATGTTTGTTCAAATCAAGAAGTTTCACATGTGCTTTAGATGAAAACACTGAATGCCCACTCTGCTATGATCACTAGATTATATTATGTGAGCTGACAGATGATCAGTAGAGGCAATGTGTAAGTCTGGTATCGGTTATTTTCTAACATAGAGAAGACTCAAAAGCAAATTGTTGATATTTTCTGGTTATACTACATTTATTGTAAGTCCTATTAGGAAAAAAAAATAACCTACAGTAGACTGAATGTCTCTCCTGTCCTCATTACAGAGATGAAAATGTAGCACTTTGTCCTGTCCTACAAGTCCCTGGGCATCCACTTCTTCATCCCCCTGCTCTGTCCTGCAACAAAGTGCAGAAGGGTACATGTGTGTGTGGAATAGGGGAGAGAGGAGAGACAAAAGGAGGAGGAAATCCAGGGGCAGAGTTTCCCATCGGATGACCTGGAGTTCATCCAGCCTAATGACCTAGCAGTGTTTTTCTTCCAATAAGCCATCTGAAAGGGCAAACCTTTTCCCTTCCAGACACAGAGAGGGGAAACATTTTTCCCCATCTGAGAACGATTGCACTAGATTACCCAAAAAACAAAGCTAGATTTC